AATATCCCAAACTAATCAGCAACATCGACACAACAATATTGTGATATTGCAACTTAACATCTATAAAACAGAACATTTGCTTAGCAAAATATTAAAATCGGTATCCCTCGCATCGAATGGCACCGCAAGGAAAGGGCAGCTGTTAAATATGTAATTAGGTGACGAAGTAAGGAAAAAAGTGGCATAAGTATTAGCAACAAAAAGCTTCCACCTCAGTTAAATAACAAAAATATATTGGAAGCAAGATAAATGTGAAGATAACAACGGAGATTATGAGAAAAGGAGTATGCAGCAAAAATGACTAAATAAAAAAAAGTAGTATGGAGCAAAACACCTCTTTGCAGGACTGTTTGTTAAAATGAGAATGAGTCTCAGTGGTATCGCTAATCGATGGATCATAGTAGATATAAAGAGGCTAGTTATGGAGTAACAACATAAAAGCGTAGTTTTGTGTATCACTAACATACTATGAGCCTCATTGAGATCATTTAAGCAGAGCAGGTAAAGTTGGGTTAGGTGAAATTGAAAGCTTCTGAAAGTAGCGCAAGAATATAAAGTCAATGAATAGAGTAAGATAAGGCTCATCAAGAGAAAGATGTGTATGCATATGCTCGGACGTAAAGCCTAGCTTTTAGGCTGTCGAAAGAAAATTATCGCCCAAGAAAAAGCAGATGAGCAGACTAGTCCAAGTCACCAAGTTAAATAATGGATAGTCTAATAAATTATTATTCTGTTGAATCTAATATTTTATGCTAAGATGAATGTATATATATATATATATATGTAAAGTCTTACCTGATAAATTTAGCATGGGCAGTTGCTGAGATTGAAGCATCATTTTATTTGAATCCGGCTGAAAAAAATTTAAAAATACTTATATACAAGTAAAATAACATGGTTAGATGCGAAATACCACGTCAAATAAAAAAATACACCGAATAAAATAGTTAAATAGAACCCCCTGAATGTAAAGCGAGAAGATAAAACCAAAAAAGTTAATTAATGGGTAGGTGCGAAGGTGCAATGATGCAAGTGTACATCGATGCAATAAACCAAATAGGAGCAAAAACAATCCGCCTGAAAATTCTGAATTGTTGAGGGGATAGATAAAATACCAAGCCAAGAAAAGGATTAATGGTAGGCATGAGAGCAGTGGATATCTGATGGAATGAATAACCTCACCAGATAGATAAAAGAACAGGAGAGCAAGCAGTGGGTGAAATGCCAATAGGAAGACATACATCATTCGAATTAAGGCCATCAATAAGATGAAATGGCTTTGTTGGCGATGGCACCAGTACTAAAGGCGATGGCATCAACCTGGAAGAATTCAGGAATGAATTATGCACACTGGGAGCAGAGGGCGACCGTCCGAATAGATTGACTTGCAGCTCAGAAGAATGACTAGCAAGAGCTTTATGAACCGGCTGTGGGACTGAGGTAGTGCCAATGAGAGATTGCTGATCCGGACCAGGTGGCGGATTGCTGGATAAATCGAGAAGAAATGCCAACATTGGACTAGCTGAGCCTGGCGAAGATGTTGAGGGAAGAGCGTCAGGTGTATTAGAACAGTATTGGACTCCAACTGATCCAGTGTGATCTTTTAGCACAGATGAAGGTTCAACAGAATTTTGAGTAGGCAGAAAAAAAGGTGCCACGAAAGTTCGGCTCTCAGAAGGCGAGGCAGAGCCTTGCTGCAGATGAGAGTTCCCCAAAACTGGGATAGCGACACTCAGAGTAGTTGGGTGATTACATGATCCAGATGGATGCAGTGTTCTAGTGCTCTGTTCTGACTGTGGAGACGAGCTTGTGGATAATGTGCGTAGTGAGGCGGCTGCTGGGCCTGCCAAAGCCTGACCGCGGATAGGAATGGCTAGAAGAGAGGAGCCAGTAACTTGTCTTGAATCACTAGTCTTATGCCAGAGACCTGTGAGGCTATGACAGGCCATGCGGCCAACAGGGGGAGTGAGGTCATTTCTATTGACTGCTAAACCAGCTCGTTGGGTCTGTAACGAGTCAAGCCAAGACATTGGTATCACGAGGCCACCACTGTTAGGTATGGGAGTCTGATCAGTATTCTTAAATTGAGAGACGTCCGGCGAAACGGTAAGATGGACATGAGGCACGTTACGAGTGATGGTGGGCTGAGGTGTGAGCCTGGCTGATCGAGTAGGCTCTCCCTTGTCTAATGGACTTGCATCGCCTGGCGGAAGTGCTAGCCAAAATGGTAACTGGGTTACATCGAGGGTAGTATCAGCAGAGAAGGTTTCCTGAGCGAAGTCTAGGGCGTTGGAAGAAAGAGAAGCAGCTGTATTTTCACAAAGACGCAAATCTAAAAAAGGTCTGATAAAGTTAACTTTTCCTCCGAGCGTAATTTCTGGCTTTCGGATACAATTTCTCTGAGATAGACGAGGAATAGACCGAGTAGAGGCTCTCTGGAAGGCATGTCCATCAAAGCTTAATGAGCTTATAGATGAAGGAAGACTTGGAGTGGATTTTTGGGGAGATTCTATGCTTTTATGATGTTTGCGTGACTTCGCTTCGCGAAGTGCGTGATGCTGATAAAACATATTTTTCAGGACTGAAGTAGCATCGGAAGTACAAGAGGCGTACGTGGCTGCATCAACACAAGTAACTGAAGAAGAGGCAGACAAAGAAGATGAAGATGACGAAGAGGATGAAATGCTATGACTGTCAGAAGGAACACTAGGAGTGACATTTGTCGTTTGTTGAATGCTGAGGTTAGTGTTAGAATTACTTAGAACGAAAAATTGAGAGTTATATCTAAGAATAGAATGATTACGGCTTCCCGCCAGACGTGCATGAGTACCACCAGAGGTATTGGGACAGCAAAATCTTAACGAATCACCATATATAGGGGGGTCAGAATCACTCCTAGACTTATTCTCTAAAGAACCTGAAGTTAATGGTGAGGAATTTGTCATTATTCTATCCAAGGAATGAGAAGCGCTAGAATCAAAATTAATGTGTGAATAAGTACTGGTTGATTCAGGTGTGGTACAACTTGAGACAGAGCAATAACTACTATGTAGAACAGTATTATGCTCAAGAAAATTATATGCTCTACGCGAAAGAGAGGTTGTAGAATCGGAGAGAAGTCCTGTAGAAGAAAGATTTTCACAGAGGCTTTGATGCTTCCGGACTAGTCGCACAACCGGTCTCGAATCTGTCAGCCCAATTTTAGCCTGAGGTGAAGTATCAGTGAAAGCTGGGAGGTGCTTAATCAGGGGACATGACATATTATGCACATCTGGAGTATGCGAAATAATTGGTAAACGGGATTCTCTAGTCGCAATAGAGCTGATATGAGCCTGGTGTCGCTTCCGTGCTCTAGTTTGTCGAGAAGCCGAGTAGGTACCTCGACCACTGAAGCGATCGGACGGAGGACGTCGTCCAAGACAAATACACTTAGCAAATGTCCGATTCCATATCCCACCACTACGATGCTCTGTAGGTTGATGAATGACAGAATTTGATGTGATAGTTTGGCCAGCTTGGCAGGTTATCAGTGGCCGTCTGTTGTCGATGTTCGAGATAGAAGTATAATGATGTTGTTGGAAAAGTTTGAGGTTGACATTAGAACAGCTGGCATCAGATTGTTGATGAGTTCCGGCAGCTGAATCATCAAAATCTTGATGAGAAGTTGTGGGCAGATGCAAACACGATCGAACCATGCTAAAAAAAAGGGAGCTGAATGAAGCTTGCTGGCGAAAGGACGTTGAGGGTGAATGTAATGGCAGTTTTGAACCATAAGAGGCATCGACGGAAGGGAACGACGGAAATAGATTACAGTGAGATTTAGATTTAATGTATATCTTGGATTTCACAGCAGGCTCTGAATTGGACATAACTGCATCATTACTCTTGGAGATGCAACAAACTTGTATAGGATTCGCTTGAAAGTTGCTAGATGTGTTGCGCAAAGGGGAATGATGAGAAGTACCCGAAACCAGTACAGACGAATGAAGATTTAACTTGCATGACGCACAAGATTGTGTGCGCCTAACGCTGTGGTTTGGCCGAAAAAAAGCTACATTGTCAAGATTATCCCCCTTGATGGAAGAAGGAATACGAGTATGCAAGGAAAGGTATGTAGAAGATTTTACTTTTTTTTGGAAGCTGCTGTTGGGTGGTGAGAAAGAAAAGGACATGAGGGGCTTTTTGTATAGTTGAGAGATAATCGAATTGTGAAAACGTCGAAATAGTAACCAAAGTGAAAGTGTGGGCTGATAATGAATGAAAAAAGAATAATGAGAGGTGAGGGCAAGATATGGGGAGCGAAAAAAAAAATTATATAGGATATCGTAGAAATACTCTAATGCTTAATCCATTGATGAAAAATGAAGATAAAAAATCCTTCTGACTAAGAATTACTATACTAGTCAGAGTATTTAATAAATTTGGAATGAAATATGAAGCTGTTGTGCCTTCACATTTAACTAAGAAATGATGACAACATAAGTATTAAGCTAACAGCTAAGCGCTTATGCAAAAATCAATAATTAATATCTTACCAGCTGCTCTTCTATTGGTATGCGATTTAGACGAATTACATCAAGTGAGTATGAATAAGCAATATGTGAGCAAGAACTAAATCGACGTAGTGCCGACAAAATGATGCGCTTGCACGGGCATGGGACTCACAAAATTTGAGGAAAATATGATGACAAAAAGGGTTAAGGCATTACATGAGTAAAATCAGAGTAAATGACCGACAACAACTATAAAAACGTGAAGTTTCCATGCTTTCAGCTACCTTTCCGAGGCCGTTTTCTGCCAAATTGTATGCTCCATTCAGCAAAGGAAGTACGATGTTGTTGCAAACATTGGGAGTAGATGAGGACCGCTCCCTCGTTGACGTTGCGAGCATTTGTCTAGGCAAATGGCTGCCTGGAGAATGAACGCCAGCTCCATTAGTATCAAGACCAGAAAGCTGTCGACAAGAGGCAGTAGGTGTAGCCACCGCCAGCCAATTAGAGCCCGCTTGGACTGATCCAGTATTTGAACTGGAGGACCCACTAGCCGGCGGGCAAAATTTGTGGGCAGATAAGCGGGCGCGTATATGTTGGTAAGCTGGTTTATGCAAGAACTAAAATATGGGCGCCAGATTCAAAATATCTAGGATGTTTTCAGTTGAATTTACTAGTTACATATTTGCACGACAAAGTGAAGGTAAGCTAGACAGTTAAGCAATAAAAAAATGTCGCACCTTATGAATGAAGGAATGAGGCAAGCATGAGACAGTAACATAATAAATATAATATTAATGACAAAAATTG